CCCCAAAACCCCAAAACCCCGTATTTCAATCATAAGCAATAATTTAAAGAATGAAAATTTAGATTTTAAGAAATAAACCAAAATTATAGTTAAGTGAATGGTAATTTTATTTGATTTCACATAATAATGTCTAATTTTCAATTGTGGTTTAAATTAGAATTTTTTTCAATCTTAAACAGAAAACTCGTGAAAAGATCTTTATTGTTTGCTATCATACGCCTTTTTGTAAAACTTTACTCAGTTTCTTTCTCATAGTACATCAAAGAGCCTTCATCAGATGAAGAAGATGATGATTAATGGTTAGTAGAATCATCATTATTGAAATTAAGAGAATGCCCAGTCATATCATTTTTCTATTGAATTTTATCTTTTTGTTACCCAGCTTTGAAATGTTTGGTTCCATTTAAATAATTACTATCATCAGAAAGAGAAACATCTGCTTCTATAATCTCTGTAATATCATTAATCATATTGTTATTTTTAGTTTCATTTTTGTTCTTTTTCTATCTCCTTTCTTTCTTTACACCATATGTCTTAAACATTAGTAGAATATTGAGAGAGGTAATTAGATCAGTTGCCCCGTAAAATAACACTTCATAATTTACAATTTTGATTACAAATTCCCACTCATCATCTTTTTAATCATTATCAACTTGCCCATAGTTGAAAATGGGTACTAGTACATCCCTTATAATGATCCTTACTGCATAAAGAATCATTATGAGATAAATCTACCCTATCAGCTATCATAGATAGGTTAAAATTCTATCAAAAATATTTAGACTTACTAATTTTTTCTTTAGAGACCATTTCCCTCCTTTTACCTCAAAACTATTAAATTTGAGTTTTGAGAAAAAGCAAAAGAGAATTATGAATATCAATTCTAAGGAGACATCTAACACTAATCTCATGGCACAAATAATCCTTTCAGATATTAACATATATAGTTTACATAGTAACTCCAATCAGAAAGTTGTGTAATACTTCATCATTTCTAACCCTGTCGCTATTTATATTGGCATAAGTTACAATTTGAGTTGTAGCTACAAAAGCGTAAACCAATTGAAACAAGTAAAACCCCATTTTAGCAAGACGTTCTCTTCTTTTAAATATTTCAATTGAATCTGATTTATAAATGATGAACATATTCAACCTAGATATTACCTTAAAAGAAAAATTGCATTACATCTTAAACACAAATATTGCTAGTATCATGAAAAACAAAGCATTAAATGCATTTTCAACATAGTAGGGCAAATATTTGAGCTTAATAAATTCTGAATCAAGAGCTATCACCAACCAGCATAAAGATTTAGCTATAGATATATTAATTGAATTTGTCAGAAAAAAACTTACTAAGAAAACCGATAGCAAACCAAAATATGTTCATGTAAGAAAATTTGTCCAGCTTTACCTTCACATGAAAAATTAGAAGCAATGAACAGGTAACATAGATTGTAAAAATTCCAAAATAGACTCCTGAGTAGATGAAACTTTTAACCTTTTCATCTTAATAATCATCATTGTTGAAATCACTCATTGCTTAAAATATATTAATAAATCTTAAAACTTATTAAAATTTTATAAATTGCAGAAATTTTAATTTAATGTACTTGAAGGGGTTTTGGGGTTTTGGGGG